AGGGAAAAAACTAAGGGCTCCCCCGAGTATGTTAATGATCAATGACAATCGTATTAATAATGTCGATTTGTGACTTCTTGATATCTTAAATGTAAATGTGAACACTCTTTAACATTTGACTGTAAGATAAAGTTGGGAGACTAAATATGAGAAACCATGGAATTGAAAGCTCAAAATACTTATGTTTTGGCTGTCATTATCACGTTTGATTGGTTGATTTCTTATTATTTTATATATTTAAAATTCTCAGGATATTTTAATGACCGATGATCATTTTGTAAGCATTTCAGTTTTTTTTAAAATCTGATGATGCAGAAATGTGCGAAAACGCTTAATGAGTTATGAATTTTAAGAAATTCTTACTAAACCTAGGATTTGATCCTTTTGTTCTCTTTGTTCTTTTCTAAAGTGGTTGGAATGTTTTGTACTTCCGTAAGTATTTCAGAGATGATTTTTCAAGTTAATGGGGATACCGGTTTGAATTGATATGAAAGCGCCCGCCAATTCTCGTTTTCGCTTTCTTGAATGGAATTTTAGATAGGTAGATAGATAGATACTTAAATTAGTTATAGAATGACATCTATAAATCGTAATAAGACATAACTAATTAAGACATAATTAAGACATAACAAATTTTCCAACCCGTAAATAGCCAAATATTGGTGCGACAGCTGATTTGCTGCCTACACTGCTTCGTTATGCACCATTTGCTTTGCGTAGTATCAAACGTGACACCAGAGGACAAAATTACGCGCAAGCTAGACTTTTCAGCTAATTTCAAACTGATGTCCAAGAATTTTTTGATCTAATATATTGATAAATTGCGATAAGTTATCGGAAGGTTTGATACAGTCTGTGCTGTATTGGCTTTGTTTCATATTGGAGAGCAAATCTGTTGTTACCGTGAACTAGATTTTTTCGGGCAAACGCTTTCAATCTAAATGCTTGTTTCCGCATTTTTTAATGGAAGTTCAGCCATTAAAAATGGGTGAATAACCGGCAGCTCTTTTGCTGCCTGTTCAATGGCGCAATCACTTAATACGGAATTTTGTTTGCCCTTGTTCAATTTGTTTTTCTCATTTTAACTCATTTTCTACCAATAAAAAGTTTTGCCAAATGAAGAAACTTATCATTTTGAAAACTCACCTCGGTACAGAACTTGAGCACCGAGGAACCCAGGGAAGGTAGTTTTCTTAAGCAGAGAATCTCCCTCGCAATACAGGTTGCGAACGCTGCCTGTGTACTCGGCACTATTATTGATAACAATATTCTCGAAGAAATTTTTATTTATAGAGCCTAGGGAAAAAAGCGCAGCCTCATATCAGGCCAGTCTTTTTTTAGTCACTTTCAACTCCGGTTTATTCTGTGCAAGTGTTAGTTTTATCAATCTGGGTGGCTTGATTCCCAACCATCTGAATCTCTTGTATCCACATTATACTTTACTCTTCCATATCTAGAAAATTCTCAGGTTTTTGACTGGATAATGTGATGATGGGACTCCTGACTGTAACCTCGGTTACTATGATGTTTTCGACCTGATTACTTCATGGAGGAACTTGGTGTTGTGTTTGTTAATTTTTTCTTTGATTTTTGTTTTCCCCGCAACCACAAAATCAGCTGCCACAATTAATCATCGAAGAGAATTGAGTGATATACCATATTAAAGCCCTTTCAGTCATAATTCGAACATCAAAAAAAAAATCCCAGTGTCGAGAAAAACAGGTTTAAAATTTTTGGTTTTTTCGTCTTAATTCGAGCGAATAAAGCGAGTTTATCTATATGGCTTAAAAGCTTACAATAGCATAATTTAATTTTTGTGCGCCTTTTTGGATTAGAAAAAATGTGAAAAAATTGTTGATGTAAAACTTTTTCTTGCTTTTTCTAAAAAATTGTTTTCCAATTTGCTTATTTTTACTATGGCTGTCGATTATGCCTGCGCTCGAGTTTTTCGTTCATCACCCCAAGCCGAAAAAAACGACCCAAATTGTTACATGTGTTACACGCTTGCAGTTTTCAGAAAAATAGAAAGCTTGATGAAAATTAAGTGTTTGGAAACGAGTTCTCCGCTCAGTTTTATTTATCAATGTTATTGTGCATTTTCGCTTGCTACGTACATGGTGCAGATATGCTTGCATGTATGAGTTTTGACGAATACACTTAAATTTCTTCTGTGAGAATTTAAATTAAACCTCCCAGACTTCTTCTTATTGATTGTTTTAAAAAACCTCGAAAATTTTTTTTGGAAAAAAACTGATTTTATTTTTTTTTTGCGATTTTTAAGCTAGTGTCTCGGAAAGTTAAAAAACGGTACATCCTTCGCAAAAAGATCCTTCGTTTGTTTCGGCCGATTTTTCTGAGCTGATATAATGTTGGCTTACTTTCCAAATAACTTAGTTGAGCTATACGTTTCATTCAAAACTTTTCCTTGTGATTTATTTGCTAGTTCTGAGTCTTAGAATATCTGAATGTTTGTATTTTTCTGTTTTTGTCTGAATTGTGTTTTTTGTTATTTAGTTTTTTTGGATGATCAATTGCGAAATTTTTCTAAAATTTATAGCTTAACCAGTGAAAGTTTCTGCTGTGCCAATTTTTTTGAGCTGCTGTTTTCTTTGCCCTCGCTACTATTATCCAATTCTATGCAAATGAAAATTCAGAGAATTAGTACAAGCTTATTAAAACTGAAGATGTATTTTTGACATGCGATATCATCATATGTTTATCAATGTTTTTCATGAAGTTTTTGGCAAACATTGTTAGAGTTTTTAAGTTTTTTTCGGCTTCGAGTTGAATCATTCCTCTCTTATGCACGTACTTGAAGGTTATTTCAGCCGATAAATTTACTCAGCTTTTGTAGAGGAATGTTCTTGCTAAGGTTAATATAGGCCTGCTGTTCAAATCTCTTTTGGACTTTTTGGCAAAGCAAGTCAATGGTTTTTGGTTCCTTCGTTCTTTATTCGTTTTTATTGTGTGCGTAGGCATCTTATCAATCTTTTGCATTGCTTAGTTATGCATATAAATTGACGAAGACTACTTTTTTCTTTGAAATTGCTCATTTGGTGCTGTTGCTAAAATTTCAACTATTTGCCAAGTTTTATCAAAGGTACAATATCAAGTATTCTAAGGGCGGTTTATGTGTCCATAGTTCGTGATTGGAATATTTTTTTCGATTTTTTTCCGAGTATTTAATTATCCGTGTTCGAAGTCTTGCAAAAGGCCAGGATATCGAGTCCAAATGGAGCTAGATAATTTATTGGGTCGTTTGCGTTGTTGTTCCGACTTCCGAAAAAAGTGAGGAATATTTATGCTTGGTGTGTTTTTTATTCACTAATTTTTTGACTTGTTAACTGAGCATTTTTTGAAGAATTTTTTTATACCATCTGAGAGCTATTGTTAACCTAAGCTCAAATTTAAAATGATTTTTCATCGGTGATCATTTTTTGTAAAGGTACAGGCATTTGAAATTTGCTAGTTTGGCGAATGTGGGATAATTAAAGTGCGTTATATTGCGTACGTATTTTACGCGGAAGAGCCGAATTATTGCGTTCAAAACTAAATTGAATTGAGGCCAGCATTTTAATCATATTATCACAATACCAGACGCTAAACACCCTTAGAATTTTACATAGCGTGTGTGAGGATAAAAAAAGAAAAAAACTTTTTTTTCCAATTCTTTCGTCATTTATTCCAAAAACAAACGTTCAATTGGCCTTAAGGGGAGTCGGAAGATTCAGGGCTTTGCCCTGATATACGAGCAGTCTTGTTTTTTCTACTGATATGTTGGAATTGCATCTTAGATTGTTCAATGTTGTTAACCCTTGCCATTTTCCCCCCAGGTTGGCAACTTGTTCAGCACCACTACTGATTCATTGATAACAGTGAACGTTCTTATAAACGTGCTGATATTTTCATTAAAAAAATTCAAAATAGTTAGTATTACAGTGTGATATTGCAGTGCTCTTTCATATTTTAATTTTTTTTTCAGTATTTTGTTTTCTGCTCAATTGATGGGCGTAGGTTTACACAGCCTGATTTTTATTTAACGTTCAATTAATTTTTTTAAACTTTAATTGGGGGTAATTTTGATTTGTTCCTGCTAAAGTTAGCTGTTCCGATTTTATATTAAAAAATGTTCTCTAAAAAGGTTAATTCGGCGTAAATAGTTTCAGCTTATGGTATTGTGGAATACTCGCCTCGTATTGCTTCATTTGAAGGGTGTCAATAGATTTTTGCGTGGCGTGCTTCGCGAGTGAGTTTGAAAGCTTTGTGGAAACTATTTTTGTGACAATTTATCTTAACGCCCTACCCAAGTTTTGTCGGCATAGTTTTTGCTAGATAAGGTTTGCCTGATTGCTAACTTAACGGTGGCGAATGAGTTTTAAGATATGTTATCATCAAATTGAACATCAGTCGTTTTTGTTAAGAAATATTTTCAAATCATTTTTCGGCTTAGTTGCTTTCGTCTCCTTATCTCTTCTAGCTTGCCATACTTTGTGATATATCACAAGTGTTGCGAAGCTTCGCTTCGCCGCTATTTTTATGGCGCTTATTTATAATCTGTCTTATATGAAAGGCGGATATTCAATTTCCCTCCGTTTTTTTGAAGATTTGTCTAAAAAAGAAATAAATCATCGGAAAACTGTCTGAAAACTGTGCTGCTATTCTTTTAGATATTATTCTTTTGGAGTGAAGGGTTTCCTCAGTTTGCAAAAATTTTCCCCCTTGAATATCATTCTTTGATGTATCCCTAGAGAATTTGATTGTAGTCTTTGCAGTTCTTTTGGTGCACTGACTGAAATTTGAATGTATCTCACAATTTTCGTACCAGTAAGTATATTTCACATTTCCTGAAGCCCTAAATTTCCCCTTTGCTCCGTTATTTTGTATCACTTTCATACTTTCTTTTTATTTAGATATGCCTAGTTTGTTTATATTCATCATAGCTACTCCTATGATTTTTGCTATTGTTTTGATCATTTAGAAAACTAGTGTTACTGTTTTAGACAAACATATGAACAACCAATGTGAACCAAGCGAAGAAGAAAAAAATGACTATGACTCCGAATCCAGTTGCGGTTGGAGTCACTTAAACATCGATGGCTACGACAGATCAGTAGAACCCGATCCCAGTTCGTTTCTGGTCATAGAGTCTCTGGATTCTGCGCCGAGCTGTGGATCTATAAATATAGACCATACATCTATTTTATCGCTCGTGGACCAGACCGAAAGATGGAATGAGTCAACATGGGAAGAGTTTTGCCACACTCAAACGGAAGCCGTGAAACGATACGCGTCAGCCAGTAATCTTGCCGTAGCGCGCAATTTTGACTCGCTAAAAGCCTTATCAATCAAACACAACTCATGCGGTGAGATGCTTTTCAGTGGAATTTTTCTTGCCTTATGTTTTTTCTTCTCTGCGGTAGCAGATATTCGACCTCCAAAGTTTTTTCCTATTATCGTAACACTTGTGAGAGCAAGCGTTTTGTAATCTGTAATTAGACTTTTTCCCCGTAAACAGCTTTTCTTACAATTGTGACTAAAAATTAAACTTGCTTTATTATGGAACCCTTACAGTTTACAGGCTCCTTCTCACTTGGTCTAGAGGTAACTCAGCTACCTTTGCACCTAAAGGTCTGGAATTCGAGTCCCGAAGAGACCTTGTTTTTAAAGTATGCATGTTTTCCCCGGGAAATTGAATTTTGGGACTGCCATTTCTCTGCTTTTTTGTCGGCTTGATTTCCATTTTCCAAAGCATGGAACTTTTTTTGATTTAATTAATTCATAATTAAATGACAGTATAGAATTGGCGTTTCTGTCATGTTGACTATGACTCAGATTCTCTCTCCTAATTATGTTCCTTTACGTTTGTGTTTTGAAATTAATTCCTAGTCGAGCAATCATTTTCTTAATAGGAGAGATTTGAACGATATTAAAAAATTTGTCGACTCAAACGGTTTGAAGTCTTTGATTTTTGGTCTAATTTGGAGCTAATAAGGTTTGTCAAAATAAGGTTTGCAGGCTTACAATAGCTTATTTAAGCTTAATTTAAGCCGTGAAAACCTAGTCTTACTGGAGTAAAGTTAGTTTCTGAAATTTTTTAGCGCCATTTTGGGAATGAAATATTCAAAAATTCAAAAAAAATTAGCAAAAAAATTAGAAAACGATTTTTTTTTTCGTATTCCAGGTCATTTTTCTACAGAAGCTGTTTTCTAATTGGTCTATTTGAGTATGACTGTCGAATATGCCTAATTTTTATTCCTAAGTTCATATCTTTTTATCACAGCACGTAGGGAAAAAACGATACTTTTTGAAGAATTTTTTTTAAAGACTGCGGTCCGATTAACATCCTTGTTTTTGTTTGTAATTTGCTTCTGTATTTAAATTTAGATCTGAGCGGTGTTGCTGGTTCGTCAAGTAAGGGACGCTCCTCAAAAATTCCACATAAACAAGCTTGCCAAAAACTTTCAGTGTCAACTGACTCAACAGAGTCATGCAACAGTATGTCAATGAGATCCTCCAAATTGTCAGCTACAAGTTTTTCAAAGAAAGTCCGCAAATTCACAGGTTTCAAGTTGTCCAAACAACATGTGCCCAAGACAAAAACTCAAAACGAAGAAATTAAACTGAATCCTATCAATCAAGAAGAGGAAATGTCGACCACGCATGAAGAAATTAACAGAGAAGATGATGAAAATGAGGCAGATACTTCAAAAGAGTGCAATGAGCTGAACGAAGAAGGGGACGTTGAGAGCAACACGGACCCTCTTGGATGTTCTTACATTTCTAAGACTCCTCGTTTGCAAGTTACACCATGTACAGATCGTCCAACAACGAGTTGTACTGAGAATAGTTATAGTACCTGTTTCTTGGAGTTGCACAGAGATGTATATGAGAACAACTTGGAACATCTGGACGAATTTTGGAGGAAAAATAAGTGAGAGGTTTTTTGTTGTTAACCTTTGTGCTTGTGCTGGACTCTTCTTCGGATTAAACAGATTGAAATGCTTGCATACAGTTGACCAAAAACTTTGCTTACAGTTTTTATATGATTCAACAAATCTGCAAGAAGAAGTATCATATAATCGAAAAATTACTAATTTTTGGTGATAAAATGTTAGTTTCACCGTTGAATTTTGTGTTCCTTTTGTGTTTTCGTTCGTTTTAGTTGCAAGTGCACAATATTTTTCTTTCAGAATGTATCTCAATCTTCTAGCTTTTCGGTTGATTTTGATTAAACAATCTATGAAATTTTGTATCGCTAATTTTCCTAAGCTCTCTTTCTCTGTCTTTTTCTTATTTTGAGTGATATGGTTTCTCCTTCTGACTAGGAAAAGACTGAATTCGGCTCTGGAGTTGTTTGACCCCAATGGTCTCAATGCACTGCACCTGGCCTGCAGACTGGGTCGCACACAGTATCTGGACCTGTTCCTCGTTCTTGCCAACACTAAGTTCTTCAAGTCGCGCACAAGAGACCCCAACGCACTCGGATGGACTGTCCTGGACGAAGCTGTAGTGCTCGGAAACAGGTGGGACTTCATTTTATCTGACTCATCTTAAAGGAGTTTCTGTACTCTGCACTAATTAATTGTCGACCGCCCTCCGCGAAACTAATCGATTTCTTCATAGACCACATCACTCGCGAGAAGATGGACCTCTCCTTGGGGGGGGGGGGGGGGCAGGGGTCTGAATGGACCTCACCGGAATCTTTATACCATGTAATTTATTCCCAAAGTTTAACATCAAAATTGGCTTAAAATTTTAGTCAAAATTTTAATTCAAGCGACAGTTTTTCAGCGTTATTTTTTTTTTCAATTTGGAGTGCGCAAAAATGATACATTTTTCTAAACACAAAAAGTATCCATTTTTGAGAGCTCGAAATCGAATAAGTATCAATTTAAGATTAAATTAATGTTTTAAAAATTTATGTCCAACCTCCTGGTAAATTTTTGACCCCCTCAAATAACGTAGTGCTTAGTACTATGCAAGCGTCCAATTAGTTTTTTTTTCGAATCATCGCTTTAATTTGAGGAATCAGAGGCCCCTTTCTAAGATATCAGCCAGGAATGTATAGGAGGCCGAAAATAATTAGCATATTTCGGTGAATCGCTGTTGACTGTTTCTTGATTTTTTCTGGAATAGGAAAATTGATCCTTGCGGTATAATGGGTCGTGATGAATCTCGAACTAATAACCTCTTCATTGGCGAAAGAAAACTTAGTCAAGTCATCTTCGCGCCCTGAATTTGATATGAATGGTTGAAACATCTTAAAATATGCTATATTTGACCAGGAAGTACATCAAACTAGTCTATCTGATGTTGCAATATCACCAACAGAAACGACTGAAGGAGAGAGAGGCTCTTATCAAGAAATCTCTCTCGCAGACTATCGACTTCTGCATCACCATCAAATGGTTGTTCAAGTCATGGATTCCTCTCTTATCTCGATATCTGCCCAGTGATACGTGTGTTCTATACAAGAAAGGAAATTGTATCAGACTGGACTCAACTCTGCTGAACTTTTCCCAGAATGCGTGGAAGAGGGGTAAAATATCGGTGCTCTATAACCCCACTAAGTATGGTGGGGAAAACTTCGTGTTCATAGTGCCTTCTCAGAAACAATACAGGTGACATGTCAGAATTGGTGGTAAACTGTAAGAGAAATTGTAGCGTTCAAACTTTTTTTGTAGCAATTCATAACAATTTTACGTGAAAATCTTCAAATACGGTACAAATGTGAAACCAAGCAAAAGTTGGCTGTTGTACGAATAGCATAGACTTAAAATTGAGACGTCATTAGAACTTTTCCTAGTGCTTCATTTCTTTTGTTCCCCACTACAGGAGGCTCAGAGGGAGGGAGGTTTCCTGGAGGCTAGAGGAGTTCTGTAAAAATTTGAGAATTTTAAATATTTTCGAAACTAAGATTTTTTTCATGGCAGCTCGAGGATTCACGACTCATAAGGCTTCAATATGCTATATAACTCAAACTCGTTCTGCATTTGTTGTGATAAACCTATTAAATAGTTTCTTATTGGAAATGGATGCTGACTGACGGACTGGTGCGGGACGACTGTAAAAACTGGCGTCACGCAGCCTCGAACCTGGTCATCTCGCACAAAAGGAAACATGCCAACCAACGGACTACAACTCCTGAGGGTGACTACAGTGAATGATACATCAAGTCCGACAAATTCAATCCTCAGATAAGCAAAAACACCCGACTGCGAGGTCCGAACCCTGGTCCTTGGTATAAAAAGCAGAAATACTACACTACGAAGCCTTGCATCAGACTACAAATCGACCAGTGCTATCAAGAAAACTCTAAAGAGCATAAAGTGCCTCTTCCCTCTCCCCTAAGAAAATTTTAGTGCGTCGGTAAGCCTGACCATTTCGACTGCTACTGCCCTGAAGTTTCTATATACTGCACACAAGACCCTTTCAGTCCCGATCATGTATGCTTCTATCCTCAAGTGTACTACCTGTGCCTTCGAAATCAAAGATGAGCCTGTGTTTGTGTGTCTTACCTGCACACAAAGAATGCATTGTACCAAACCTTGCTCTGGGTTTTCCGAATCACGACTATCTGAGCTGAATGAAGAGGCGAACAATGTCTTGATTATGTTTAATAACTGTAGTGCTATCGGAAAACGTGACTTGGTCATCTCGACTTCAACAAACGATCTGACGGAAAAGAAAGTTGAAAATAAAATCAGCAATGACAACAACGAGCTTGTTACCAGTTTTGACCGGTATTCAGAAGTTATCACTGCAGAACTGAAAGAAGCCTCGAGCTCAGTTAACCAATCAGATGTCTGAGTTAGGCACTGGTTCAGCTGCAGAAAAAATGAAACATGACCACGAGAAATCGGCAGCGATATTTTCTCATCGTGGTGCGCCGTGGAACGTTAAACAACTGAGGAGACTTGGAAGCGTTACAGGCAGATTGAACGGTTCGAGAAGTCTGTTGGTTATCTGCAACGATACGTTTACGAGCAACTCTGTACTGAAACTTGCAAGTGCTTTAAAAACTTTTCACGAGAACGGAGTGTTCATTTCTCCTATGTTATCACCGGGCGACGCAAAACCGGAACAAAGCTTGCTTATAACACGTCGGAAACTGATAGAAGACGGTACAACTAAAGAAGACGCCAGGTTGAGAGACTTGGAACTATTCAAACGGGTTGGAAACAAATGGGAAGAAGTAGCAGAGATGAGTGTCAAAGCACCTAACGATGAATGACTACGTCCAGCCGCCAATGCCAGCAGCCATTGCTTACACATATGCCTCTTCAATGTTCGGAGTCTCCTAAACAGCAACAGGCGGTTTGCGTTCGGCAGTTCTATTCTTAAAGAAGAACTCGATGCTTTATGTCTTACCGAAACATGGCTAACCGAGGCTTTTTCAAATTCCGAATTTTAACTGATTTCATAATACATCGATGTGATCGCCCCAGCTCCAGTGAGTATCTCTCATCACATGGAGGTGTTCTGATAAGACTCCGGAAAACATCAAGAATTGTCCAGTGCAAATGGCAGTCAATGGAGCTGAAGTCGTTGCGTGTTTGATGTCTTTAGGTGAAGCTGAATTCTTGATAATTTTGGATATAACCCACCAGCAAACAGTAACTACAGATAGTCACTTGCTTGTTGGGCAGGCTTTCTCTCTATGGTATCAACTGTCTCCGCTGTCAACTTCCTCGGTGACTTAAATCTCACTGTCGTCTGGGATACGGTCTCTTCCACAAACGGTTATGAAACATCTGCTCTTCAAATATTAGATGAGCACAAACTTTTTCATGTTGTGGACGTACTGACCACCAGGTCAAACACTTTCGATCTCTGTTTTACTAATGACCTCCCCACTGCAATAAGTCATCGGATCAATGGTAGTCTATCCGCAAACTATGCCATTGGAGGCAAGCCTTGCTCAGATCAAAAAGCAGTGGTCGTGGATCTAGAGTTTATTCAGACCTCTCTAACAGTTGATTTAGCGTGCAAATCGAAGTTCTATAGTTCTTGTCGTGCGGACTACGATGAAATAAATCAGCTATCAACAAATAGTTCATTTTTTGCAGCCCGCTGGTCAAATCCGAATGTTATCATCAATGAATCGTACTCATAGCTGGAAGAAACCTTTGAAAAGACAGTTCCTGTGCGAACACGTCATCGCGCAAATCTCCCTCCATGGGTGAGTGCAGGCAAAATCAACTAGTTGAAAAGATTGGAGACTAGAAGAAAAGCCAAAAACGAAAACTTGCTCAAATTCGTTTCACTGAAAAACGAAATAGACCACAAACTCGCACTAGAACAGGCTGATTATGAGCAGAAACTATCGTCTGGGAGAAGCACAAAAAACTATTTAAACATTTCAGCTCCTTCCGAAAGTCAAACCCGATCCCAGCTACAATCGTATGGAATGCAGCTGAAGCTTCAAATGATTTTGCAAAACCCAACAATGAATACTTTCAAAGCGTATACGCACCTTCAAGTCACTTCGAAGAGCCTTTTGGACTTGATCCTTTCAATAATATGAGTGACTTCGATACCGGCAAAGAAGTGTGTTGAAAATTGTCCTGAAATTCGACGATCCAAGTCAGTAGGGCCTGACAACTTGCCACCAACGTTCTTCAAACGTGCGACAACCATGGCCAAACGCTTACCTAAAATCTTCACTAAAGTAAAGCAAACTGGTGTATATCCGCGCAGATGGTAAGGCAGCAAACTGGGATCCCTTTTAAAAAGGGGGATTGCCCAATTGTTGAAAACTACCGGCCGGTGGCTCTAATCGATATGGCGTCGAAATGTTTGGAAAAATATTTGCTCAATGCCCTCTACGAATGGGTGTCTTCTCTTATCCCCGACATTCAGCATGGTTTCAGATGTGTTCGATCAACTGTAACACAGCTTCTACAGTATATTGATTCCTTATACAAAGCAACCCATACAAGGGACTTGGTAGACAGTGTCTACCTAGATTTCAGCAATGCTTTTGATAAAATTGGTCATGAAACTCTTCTGAATAGCTCGCGGTCTCTTCTGAATAGCTGAATGGTACTCGCGGTCTCTTGCTGAAAGAACTTGTTTCATCTCTCAACGGTCGCTCACAGTTCGTGGAAGTAAATAGTGTGCAGTCAACCAGATTGCGCATTCTCAGCGGTGTCCCACGAGGCTATCTTGTTGGCCACTTCTGTTCCTAATTTACAGCTTCGATTTCTGTGAAGGCTTAGCATCTGAAGCTTACACTTTTGCTTATGACGCCAAACTGCTATCGATACAGGGACGAGCCTCTTTTTCGGATGTTTTCCATCAAGATATAGCATTGTTGTACCACTGGTCCTAGAAGAACAACCCACCCTTCAACTTGGACAAGTGTCATCTTATGTCCTTCACAAAGTCGGACTTACAGATCTTCATTTGGAACCATCCACTTTCGCAGTCAACCGAAGAAAGAGACATTGGAGTCACGATAACAAATGACCTAAAATGGAACACAAATATTTTTTCTCGTTGTAAAAAAGTTCACTGCGTACTGCATGCGTTTTTGAGAACTGTATCGCCTCTTGCGACATGGAGAACAAAATCTGATTTGTACAAATTAATGGTGCTATCTATTATAAACTACTGCTCTCCTGTTTGGTCACCATCTAAGGCTGCCCTCACAAAACTTGAGCAGGTTCAGAACCGTGCCACAGCTTGGATTCTTAGGTACGATTGTGCTTACACAGATAGTTTAATCTTTTTAAAATCTATTGCCACTGACATTGAACTGCTAGATTTACGATATTTTAACCTTCTCGAAGGTTCGTGATGAAAAATTTGTACGACTTGAACTGGTATAACTGCCTTCTCTTCAAGAGTTCTTCTGGTACACGTTCGGACTCGACAGTTTCTGTGAATCTCCCAAGAGTGAAGAAAAAAACTAAAGGCAAAACTTTTTCTTCCGAACCGGGCGCATGGTGAACCAGATTTCTAATAATATTGATATTTACTCACTGGAGTGCCTCAAGCAGCGACTACTGAAATTCTTCTGGACTGATTTTTACGCGAACTACGACCCCTACCGTCCTTGCACTTGTCGTTTTGCCTGTGATTACTCACAGTGCCGATGACTTCTACAATGTTTTTAGGGAGCAATCCCCTCAAATCTTTTAAATTTGTAAATACTTCATAATAATTATAATCATTATAATAATAATATCTCCTTGAAACCTGATTTTGCGTCTCACCTGAAAACACAAATTTTGATTGTTGGTGATCGGAACAAGAATAGCTGGTTGATGTTTCAACTAGCAGATAACTTTACAACAAAATTATTTTTCTTTGCCACAAAAATTTGAAACCAAAAGTTGTGTTCTCATTTTTGTAAGAATTTCATTGTATTTCACCTATTCTGACATATCGCTGCATTACAGTATCTCATCCATAGACAAGCCTCTGAAGCCCAATGAGTTGTCGAGGGAGGTGAATTCTCTGCTGAGTAATGACGTCATAGTGACCAAAGTGTCCACTAGGAGTATGCAGTATGCGCCCATGAAGAGATTAATTAGTAGACACCGGAAAATCGACAAGGTAATGTTGTCCAGTGTCTTGTTTGTCCAGCGGTGGATCCGGGTTTTCAAAAATGTCGACCTTTTTTGATCCACCATATTCATTTTCCGCCACATAAAAATGTTTGAAAAAAAACTGGATATTCTGGACAAAAAAGAATTTTTTTCGGCGCTCCTCAAGTTAGTGCGTATTTTGGCGCCCTAAAATTTTTTGGATTGTTCGATCAAAACTGGATTTTGTAGAATTGTACCAAAGGGGAACCTATGCATAGACAGTCTAAGAGACGGCAACTGTAACTGAAATGGTTTTTAGCGCATAGAAACAAGGCGTGCGTTGCTAGCTCTAGTCGTTTTATTGCCATCTGTAATTCTACGTGGGCTTTGAAATGAGAATGTTTTTGTTTAGGTTGGGAAATACTCGGCTACTTTCTATCACTGGTCGGGCATGAATCTGAAGATCTTCAAGCGGAGAGACCATCTGTCCAGCGAGCAAGTGAGCAAAAACAAAAACGTCCTCAGCGATTTCTACACTGGAGGAGTAGTGCCTGGAATGGCTGGGGACTCCCACGCTAGGTCCAGAATTCCAGACTTGAGACCTCCGGACGAACCAATCGGAAGCTTCGATGCCTATTTAGAACACCAAGTTCAAGTGGGACGACCGATGAAGATTAAAAACCAGACCAAAAGTTTCAAAGGATGCTTGGCAATGAGCGACCAGTTTCCATTGTCAATCGAAAAGCTGACAGAAATTCTAGAAGTTTTCTCAAACTTTAGACTGTTCAATAAATTGAAGAACTTTTTGCAGAGAGGTTTACCTCCTGGTTTTCCGGTATACATTGAAATGCCGGTGTTTCCGACAGTGCAGGGCCAAATAACGATGGAAGATTTTGCTCTGGATTTGCCACCCAGTGCCAAAGAAGAGTTCTTCTACTGTGTGCCAGAGGGCTTCGAAAAAGTAGACGACTTGGAAGTCGGTTAAAACAATTTCGGCGAAAGATTACATTAGTAGGTAACATTAAAATGACAAAATGCTTTGTATAAACAGTAAAACCTGTTCAACTTGAGGTTATTAAGATCTACAAGAATTATTGACTGACATCTTTAGTAACCTTAATATTCTGAGACTTCTTAACTCCTGTTCAGTCCCTGTAGTGAAAGAAAAGAGCTTGTCCTGATGTCTACCTTTGTAATCCTTCGCCACAGCATTAATTGAAACTATCAATATGTAAAAAGTTCAATCACCGTAGTTTGCTTTTGACCAACCCAAGTTGTGACTATCTTAAATCTTTTTAAAATACTCTAATCAAAATAATTCTATTCAATGCAATCTTTTGAATTGCATTTTTGTTTACTTATTTAAATATTTGTGAAAAATGGTCAAAATCGAATATTTATATGGAAAATTGTGTAACCGCTTTTCTTATGTCCATCTTGCAGAAACACTGTATATTTGCAGACTTAGCTTACTTAGTTCTCTATAAATTGCTATGAACCTTGTATCGATGGCAACATGAAAGAGAATTAATGTTTCATTTACGTAAAAACCGCGAAATTAGTTTGTTTCGAAATTAGCTCAAAGGTGCTTTGCGCCTCTTTTATTTTATCTATTTTGTATAAAAAATGTTAGATCTAATCAATTTAGAATAAAAACTGGAAATTGTATTTTTGATAAACATCGTAGATACGACTTATACTTTTTTTTTATCTTTTTATCTCGAAGAATATTCTTTTTGGTTACAGTTGCACTCAAGTGTCCATTCGAATTCATTTTATGTTCACGTGTTTTCTTCAATTAACAACAGTCAAGTTATCTAGAGGTTTTTATGTGAATTTCATTAATAAAAGTTAAGAAGTGTAGTTGCTTTTTCAGAGATTTGCAAAAATGGAATGTTCTATTTCCTTGTCGAGTTATCCTTTTTTAAATACTTGGATATACTAGTTTGAAACGCGATACAAGCAAGTGGTTGAGTGAAATTTCGTTTAAAGCGTTTTCTTGACGTTCCCTGCAAAGAAAAGTTTTAAATGTCCAAAAATTACCGAGCAAAGCAAAACTAATGAAACATCTAGGTTGTTGGTGTGCGATAGTGGGCATGATGAAAATTATTAATTAGTCAATTTCAATGAACGTGTTGAAGAAACTTATATAATGTGTGTTGATTTTTTGTTCAGAAAGGTAAAATTGTAAAAAAAACATTCACGCTCTAAATTGATTTTTTTTGCGGGTTAATTTTTTCTAATTCATTTAAAAAAGGAACAAACATATCTAATTTCAAATTAGGTTTTTTTCAGAGTTCCCGGTAGAATAAAAATTATCTATTAATCCAGTTGTCTCAAATTGGGTTAATTTTATCGAAAAGGTTTCAATCATAAAAACTTTTCGAAATTCGCGTACCTTCAAAGTGATGTTTTTTCTTCGAATTTCAAAAATTGTTTTTTTTTGAATAAATCAATGTTCTTTTGATCTATTTGAGTTCATTGAAACTTTTCAACTGTATGCTTGGACCTTTTTCAGTTCTTCCCATCGGAAATTTGCCATATATATTTACACTAGAATAGCATCTGTTCTCTGCTTTATTTGTGACCTGTGTTTGGCTATTATCCATTAAGCTTCCGTGGCTGAGTGGTGTGAGACTCTTAATCGCTAGGTCCGAGGTTCAAATCTCAGACGTAGCCAAATTTTTTGGTACTTCGAGGCTTATTACTACTTTATCTTATTGCTTTTTGTAGCTTCGCCTGTGTAAAACTTGTTCAAGGCAATTTCTGTCAGAAATTTGTTCAAGCGTTTTTTGCAGTTTGAGCAGCAAATCTGAATTCAAATAGTAGACTGTCGTATATCGTGTTTCAGAAAAAAACGCTGGGGGCGGGGTCGCTGGAATATTTCTGTTGGCTGTTTTTTTTAGATATAGTTTAAAAGAACGTAAGTTGCTTGTTTTATACAAGAAAAGATCCTCGAACAGGGTGGCAACAATATGAGTGCGGTACCCTTCACTGCCATCAGTACCACTTCAGAGCCAACAAATCAATATCAGTGTCAAATTAGTTTTCACCGCACTTGTTTAATAGTTCGTTAATAATCGAAGCAGGTTTAGACATAAGTTTAACTTAAAGAAATTGTTCATTTCCTTGAAGCAAATGGAACCAGTTCAAAACAAGTATTTTTTATATCAAATTGTATTCTTGATAGGTATCACTAAAATACTTAAAACTAACCAATCATGATCTGTGACTAAAACTTACAATATTTTGTAAGGCTAATATAAGAGAAGAAGAATAATAGTAACTTAGAAAGCAGTTGCTCTTCCTCCTCTAACCTCGCAAGATATACTGAACTAATTGATTAGTAAATGTAATAGTAAGATTAGGATCGGTATTAGACTAAGAAGTTGCACCAATCTATCTGGCCGAACGATCACTAACTAGCACCAACAGCACCAACTAGATAACTACTTAACACCAAGAATAATAACATAACCTCACAATATGGCATATTCACTATTTAAAAGTTACCGTCAAATTTAAACAATCACACACCACCACATCGAGAAAAATAAGATGATTTAGAACCTATTTTCTTTAAAGTTGTTATAGAATTTATCGAAAGTATTCAACAACAACGTTTTCAAATATCAAACTCATCATTCACAAATGATGTTTTATCAACTATCTACACTTATATTTCATTACTAGACATCGATGAAGCATTCTATGTATCTCCACCACAAACATCCCGACATTCAGCATTAACAACAGAAATAACTCTTTTCACGATTCTTAGATTCAATCTGCGAAAAAATTCCTGATACAGAAATTTCACAATTATTGTTCATATGGTTCATAATAGATTATTTTCGAACAATCTAGATCTATTTGCATAATCTCGAAAAAAAAAACAATTCGAATAAGAAGAATTGTTATAACAGATGTCGTGAAAACTCAAATAATTACAGAAATAGAAATAACAGCTATCAAAATAGATCAAGAAACTATTCTCACTCACCACACCGAAACAACTCAGTATTCAAATAGACAAAATCAAAATTATAGAAGTAGTGCGCCAAAACGTCAACGTCAAATTAATCAGGTTAAAGCTACAGTTGAAACAACTCAAGGCCCAGCAGGAATAGAAAATACGGAAACTTCAGAATTGCAATGAAATCATATACATTTTAAAAGAACCGACTTCGAAAGTGAAAACAAAACACATTATTATTATGTTGAAAAAAGAACACGAATATGAAACTCCAGTTCATTTTGGTCGCTATCAGAACGAATATACCGATAGTAAGATCAGCATAGACAAAAAAACCGACATAAATTATACTCCTTTTATTGTCGAAAGTCATGCCAATAGACTATTTTTTCGTATTTCCGTAGGACCAGCAGCATTCATGAGTGAAAAATTTTCGACCTTTAATTTTAAGAAAAAATTTAATCAAATATTTAGACGATGTCTTTATACAAGTACAGGCAAAACCTGAAATGTTAGAACAAGACTATCAAGTTTTACAAAAAGAAAGTATGAAAGCAGCTCCAGATAAATCGTATTTTTTCCTCAATAGCGTTTAATTTTTAGGACATACCATCGTAGGATAAACAATTACACCTAAAATCACAAATATTAGCATTTCTAATACAACCACCATCTACCAAAAAGAAAAGACAAGAATTTCTGGGAATGTTATTTTTTTCAAGCAAATATGCAAAAAAACGCATCAATACCTTCGACCATTTTATAACATACTACGTCAACAAATCAATTTTGAATCGACACTTGAAGATCAAAAACGTTTCGACGAAGTGAAAAACTCATAAGTGAACAAATCACAAATACTAAACCAGACCCAAATCAAACGTTTTATGCAATGTGCGACGCATCCAATTTTGGAATTAGTGCAGCACTTCTACAATCTCATCAAGAAACAAACAAAATGAATTTGATATCTGCACAAACAGAACTACGACTCTCTAAGGACTAGGTGTCCACTGAGCTGTTGATCCGAAAGCTGCCCTTCCAGCGACTGGTCAGAGAAATCGCCCAGGACTTCAAGTCTGACTTGCTGTTCCAGAGCACTGCCATCATGGCTCTGCAGGAAGCCAGCGAGAGCTACTTGGTCAGCCTGCTCGAGGACACCAACTTGTGCGCGATCCACGCCAAGAGAGTCACGATCATGCCCAAGGACATCCTGTTGGCTCGACGAATCCGAGGAGAGCGAGCTTAAGCTCAAGGTGTACTCCACACCAACCAAACCGGCCTTTTTAAAGGCCACCCAACCATCAGTTCTATATTTCTTCACAGTGAGCTTCGCTCAAGCTGACTTCGACCAGAGCAAACTCAAGCTGGTATAGGTTGAGCTCTGCTTCCCCCTCATTGGGATGACGCAGCTGGAAGGTGAGCTCGAGCTAGCTGTTCGATTGCTCCCGTACGAAGCCTAACTTTTTTGAGCTTCGAGCTCTCAGAGCTTGGCAAGCTACCTCAGAGAGCTCAGGCAAGCTTGTGCGAGCTTGATTTAAATCACAGAGCTCGAATAAGCTCTGTGGACTGACCAGTTCGAGCTAGTAGACCTTGTGTGAGCTCAAACATTTTTCAATTGTTCTTTTACGTGCCTAACTATTTTATACGTGAAAAAAGTTTTCGTTCCGGTTGAGCTCGGCTTCTTATCTGCTCTCTCATTGGCTGCCAAATTGAGGGCCAATGAGGTCGGTCCAGAATTGATAGGTACCTAGCGATTTTCGCCAATCTCAAACCCAACTTCTACTTCAACTTCTACATCAACCACAACTGCAACAACCATGTCTAGACGAGGAAAGGGAGGAAAAGGACTTGGCAAAGGAGGAGCAAAGAGGCACAGGAAGATTTTAAGAGATGACATCCAAGGCATCACCAAGCCAGCCATCAGACGTCTTGCTCGAGGAGGAGGTGTGAAGCGTATCAGTGGACTGATCTCCGAAGAGACCCGAGGAGTGCTCAAGAACTACTTGGAGAGCGTAATCAGGGATGCACGTACACCGAGCACGCCAAGAGGAAGACTGTAGTAGCCATGGACACAGTCTACGCCCTCAAGAGACAAGGCAAGACGTTGTACGGATTCGGAGGTTAAGAAGCTTCTCAGCCAGCTGCTCTCCTAGCTGCAGCACCAAACCGGCCTTTTTAAAAGCCACCAACAACCTCAGTTCTCATATCAAGCTTGCTAGAGCTCAAACAAGCCGAGTTACTTAGTCTTGAGCTCTCAGGGTAGCGAAAAATGATCAAACTTGCTAGCTCGACTCTGATTGGCTCTCCCATCTTGGTGGCCGATTTGAATTTAGTACCCTAAGACAGGGAGCCAAATTGTGGTAAAGTCAATCGTCAATCTACAGCTTCTACCACAACAACTACAACTACAACACAAGATGTCAGGCAAAGGAGGAAAATCGAAGAGCGGCAAAGTGGGAGCCAAGGCCAAGACCCGATCAAGCCGAGCTGGACTGCAGTTCCCTATTGTACGAATCCACTAATTCATCCGCAAGGGCAACTACGCTGAGCGAGTTGGTGCTGGAGCCCCCGTCTACCTTGCTGCTGTGCTCGAGTATTTGACTGCTGAGATCCTTGAGCTGGCTGGCAAGGCTGCTAAAGACAACAAGAAGTCCAGGATCATCCCTAGACACTTGCAATCAATGTGTTGAAAGCTGCGGTAAGATCAAGAGAAACCAATAGCGCTCTGTGTGGTAAAATCAAGAGAAACCAATAGTGCTCTTTAGCAATACAGTTAAGTGCAGTTATCGTGAATCTTCTTTTCCT